TGCTCTTACAGCAGTTCAGGTGAAAACCAACACAGTTCAAACTGAGCCAGGCATCCACCATTTGTAACATTTCTGTAAAGACCTTGTCTTTTTCATTGCTTTGTGGAAATTATTCAAGAAGTTAGGTAAGCAAACACGTCTGTAATCACATGTATTTTACAATTACAAACATGACAGGGTTTATAGGGAGAAGCAACACATTTTATTAGATCAACAAACAACATTAGAAAGAACAGATGTGATTTGGGGCATACAAACACTGTTTCGGGTCTGAAATAGAAGCAGCTATATCCAGATGAAGAACAGCCGTGCTGAAGCAGTAGTTTCACAAATGTTTCTTTTGTCAGTAGCACCAATAAAAACATGTAAAAGATTATAGTAAACCCAGTTATAGTTTGCCATCTGGCTCAGCCCCTCAGACAACTGAACCAGCACAGCCACGCTGAGCATGGGGGAACGAGGCAATGGGTGAACCATGGGAGATGAAGGAACGTTTGGAGGTTGCTGAAGTGTCTCTGCACAATCCCTATAAGAAATGCTCAAAAATTGTGCCTCCTGTATATTGATGGATTACTTTATAACACTGTTTAGTTCTTGCCAAGAAAACAAAGGAGTGGTGTGAAGGTACCAACCCTGGTGAACGGGAGGAGAGTAGAAAATCGTTTTGTCTGTGGTGAGGTGTGGAATGAAGACACATTACAATCCTTCCCTGACTAAACCTGAGGACAGTGACATAGTTTCAGTGGGCCATGTGCAACTGAACCTAAATTCCAGACTGCCTAATCCTGTTGGCAGGGATTTGGCAAAATCCAAGGGTTAGATGCCCTCTTCTTTTGAAATTAGTTTCCTTTAAGGATAGATATCAAAAACCTCATGGGAACTGCAAATACTGGCTCTGACAGATTAAAGCACTCTCCTCTCTTTCAAACCTGTTCTCGAGCATCAGACAAGACAACCTTCCTGCTGTACAGCACTAGCGCTGTATTATACAAACCAGGAGGGCACTGTGAAGAATTACAGGCTGAACCATTGTTCAGAATAAGCGAATGTGGCCTTCTGGCTGTATCACTGCATGAGGATTCAGGAAACCAACCTACAGCCTTTGACTGTAGTCCAAATGACTTGTGTGCTTTAGGTCACCATTTAAAAACTCATCATAAAAACTCCTCCATGTTTAGGATATTGGGAAACATGTAGCTATGAAGGAGATGGAGGTATAAACAGATTAAGAATTAAACAGAAAAATAATAAAAAAATAAAAGGCACTAAATCTCAGATAAAACCCAGCCAAATCTAAAACTAAAGGAAATGCAAAAACCTTACCTTTAGAAAGTAAATGTCAGAGTCAGCACAACTAACGCTAGTCCTAGATTGCCTATTGATTTAGAATACCCCACTCTCCCCCCAAAGTTAAAAAAAAAAAATCCACATGAATGTTCCATAAAACAAGAGATAATTTATTTCTAGTTGAAACCTTTCCCATTCACACGGGCATGGTCTGGTGACACACAGTGTCATAAACTACCAGCTGCAATTCTGGGGAATGATACAGCGTTGATACTTTCTCTTCCACCCTTCGATGAAAAACGCTTGCTGAAGATGTGCCAGGAGTTCAGATGGAATCTGAGCAGCAGCAAACTCGCACCGTTTGCCAGCTTGCAAACAGAGCAGACTCTCAGACCATTATCTTTATTTCAGCTGGCCAAATAAATCAGAACTAGACACCAGGGGGTAAATTTCCAGCACTGTGTGTAATGGGTTTAAAGTCAGAATGTCCACGACCGTTAACCACAGTTGAATGTCTAACTCACTGAGCGTGCTGCTGAAAGTTTACTCCTGTAATAAACAGCAGCAGCCTAATCCTGCAGCCTTTTACTCAGCAAAATCCCCACTGGTTTTAGTAGGAGCTGTGCCTAGGAGTGTTCCAGCACTAGGCACATTACAGACAAAAGAAGGTAAGTGAAACTTTAAGCAACAGGCATTATGTTCATTCCTCACCTTGCAAATTCCTGCCACAAACAACAACTTTACCTTTATCACTGAAGCAAATATGCTAATTTCTCTTGTGTAAGATCCTCATCAACTCTTCTGTCATAGCCAGAAAAAATGTCTACATAGCCAAGAGGTAAGTCAGTCCCCTTCTTTGGAGCTCATTATCTGAGTATCCTGTAAATTATGTCTTATCACCCTTAGTTTTTATGCCCTCATAAAGTGTTCAGAGAATTCTACTCCACTGCTGTCTGTTGGGCTCTTGAAGGCTCTTCAGTAGCAGAGCTGTTCTCCTGGGCCAGTCGAGTGCTTTAGCTAGAACTGCCACAGTGTTTAGCACTACAGTTACTGCTGCCAGAAATGCTTTTCACTGTATTATAAATTTGAGCTGGTGTCATGCCTTGTTCTCCAGCAGTATTTTTCAACTTAGCCTGAAATCCACCAATATAGCAGTGTTCCTGGAAGGTCTTACTCTTGCAAATTGTCCCAATTACGGTTATTCTGAATGGATATTTTCAGTAGGAAATGGTGGGAACAGAGATCAAAATCCCTGCCTCTCCTTTTTTCCCCCCATCCACATTTGTCCTGGTAGAATCTGTTCATCAGAATATTATCTTCAGTAGGAGTGTCAGGGTTTTTTTGCCTAATTCACATCTGTAAAGTAATGCTTCAGTCAGGTCAGCTGTACGGTGCATCTGTACAGAGACTGAGTAATAATCCAAAGTCACAGAATCATGGAATGGTTTGGGTTGGAAGGGACCTTTAAAGATCATCTAGTCCAACCGCCCTGCTAGTGCCCAGTGACCTGACACTCTCCTTGGTCCTGTTTTATTTAGCACTGTAGACAGAAACTTCGGGACTGTCAGTGTCCTTAACACACACACATACACATACTCATAACACAGGAGTGGGCCAGGTCCTTTCCTCAGATTTGCACATCAGAGTTCATAATATTGGATGGAACTGATTAATGCTCCAAGCAAAGCCACTGACTTTTAAACTACATAGATCAAGATAAAATGTAGCCTACTGACATCATTGTTGGATGTTTTAATGAAGGCGAAGACAAACTGTAAAGCTAATTTTAAACAGGAGAGTTTAAATTGGATTCTGAGAAATACTCTAAAAATTTGTTGTGTTCTAAAATCAGAGGCTCTGGGCACCTACCTGGACTGTGGCAATGCTGTAAGCGTACCTTTTATTGGAGGTGACGGGTATCCTCCAGCCTTTGATCTGGCTGAGTTCTGTATCAGAGATCTCTATCTGCAGCGGCAGCCGTGGAACCCAGACCGTCACTTCTAATTGGGTGGTAAAATGCTGGTAAGTGAAGTTAACAATAGTATCTACTTTGCTTTTCATTTCCTTGCCATTAACGAAGATGGAGTCACATCTGTCAGAAACCTAAAAAAAAAAAAAAAGAAAAAAAAAAGAAAAAAAAAAAGATTAATTAGGAAATGAATAAAAGTTCCTGAGGAAGCAGGAGGAATGATACATCAGTCCAAAGACAACACTGATAATGTGAGTCATGCATATTGTATTTTCAGTTTTCTAATTAGCAAACAGTGATAAATGGACCCCAGGGAAACAGTTCTGCTTTCCTCAATGGATACTACTGAAGCTGCAAAAATAATTTAATGCTGTTATATAACCTATGTGAATCTTTTATACGAGGCAAATTAAATTCTTCATGAATCAAACTCCATGTGCATCAAAGTTTATGTTTACAACTTGCTTAAAGAACCTGAAAAAAATGGGGCCATATGTTAGTAAGAAAAAGACTGACTCAGAACCATAAAACAGAATCCGTTCCTTTTTCCTTGAGCACCGTAATGCTGAAAGACACAGATCCCCTTTATGGCTCATGAGTAGAAATGCAGCAGAAACATTCATTTTTAGAACTTTTCAGTAATTGTTTTAGCAAAATGTATTCATAGTTGCTTTGTGTCATTATATGAAATTATTGCAAAAACGAGCACACGGGCTCTACACTACAACTTATCTCCTCTCTTGGTCTCAGGGATCCTTCGGCACAAATCGAGGTCCTGCGCACAGATCCTGTTTATTTAACAGGATGACACAGCAACGCATTTGACCTGCATCCTGGAAAGATGGAACTTCATCATGCAGTACGTTTTTTAATATATTTATGAGTGTGTGTGTGTGTATACTTTTAGATTACACAGATACACATTTAGATAAATGTATAAAGTAATTATATACATGTATACACACGCATATGTAATTGTATTTGTATCAGTGTACAGGTTTGCATTCTGATTTGAAGCAAGAGAGAGGCGATAGTCTCCAACAGAATCCATGACTGTGATTTTAATCTTTTAAAACCATGGCTTATGAGACGTAGTTGTGTTACTGAAATGGACTTTGTTCTCTTGTCAAGGCTGTTCTGTGTCATGTTGTATAATGCACTGGGACTCAGATCTGACGGGATCCTGGCTAAGCTAGTGATTAAATTCTGGTTTACTGGAGTTACTGAGATAACTCACATAGACTTCAGTGGGGAATATACTGAAACACAGGTTGGTTTTACTCTGCAAATGTACCTCAAATCTTTTCTGATATTAACAGGAATTAGGGGTTACTGAGCCAAGAAAAATTACAGGAAATGTGTAGCAGCCTTTTATTTTTTTCTCCCCCTCAAAGGCACTCCTCACATATGACTTTGGAACTAAGCCTGTTCTGCTTTAAATCTCATACAGAATAACTTTTTTTTTGTTGTTTTTCCTTGAGCTGGTAGATGGACAGTACCTGAGTTCTACTATCATATGTAGCACATTTAAATAACAAAATTTTGCCTAAATAGCTGTCATAATGTTTTTCAGATTTTTAGGTAACTTCTCTAAGAATCAGCTACTTCAGAAGCAAAAGAATACAAGTAACCTTTATGCAGGTCATTCAGTGCCAAGTTGTATTCCTTGGCATTGTGACAGAATTGAAAATCATGGCAACTCTCAAGTCAAGAATGGAAGGAGAAACATTTGGGAAACACTGTGCCTGACTGATCTGGTGGTACATACCCACTGGACATTGACCACATTAAATGACTGTTTCCCACTTAGTGAAACCACACAGCCAAACCTTTCAGACTGTCCCTTTTCTAACATCACTGGACAACTAATGTCATTCTTCTGTACAGCTTATTAGTAGTTAACAGCTTTGCTAAAAATATTGTCAAGTGCCTTGAGAAACTTGTTAGAAAAGCTCACTGTCCAATGATTTTCTCTCCTTATGCAATACCCCTCACCCCCCCAAAAAAATAATAATAAAAAATGTCTAGCTATCTGATATGGAGCTTAAAATGGACTCCAGGAGTACCACAAATGAGATGGAGCATACTCAGAATCTTTGTTTCCCCCTTACAATGTGTCACAAGTGTCTCTGGAAAGTTTAAGCACATTAATAAAGCCCATTAATTGAATAAGCAGTTGAGATTCTAAATCATAAAGCCTACATCTAGGGAGTTTTGTGAGAATTGAGACAAGACAGAAATAATTAGAGATCTCAAAGAGGGAGGGATAAACATCAAGATCAGATCACGGGAATAACTAATATCTGACATGACAGTGGCTAATGTTTTAGATTCTCTTCTTGCAGCTTAAAATGTTCTTGTCTTCTTGTCAGCAGGCAAGAAAGGTGCTTAATTAGGGAACTGAAAGATGGACTTTAATTGTAGCTGTAAAAATATCAAGGTAGGCTTACAAATTTCATAGCTTATATGTCTAGACATTCAGTCATTTTTACTTATATACTGACCAAGAGATAAGTATAAATCAGTATATGTAACTATGCTCTAGAAGTTCAGGCAGTGGCCTTGTGTAGAGCTCAGGCACACGCAGCCCTGGTCTCAGGAGCCAGAGCTCTTGTGGAAGAAGAGGTGAGAATGACAGACCAGCAAATTGGGGACATTATAAAAGGTCAGAGGAACAGCGCACGGTGCTGCTTTGCAGTGAATGTGTAAGGGATGCAAAGTCTCGTGGCTGAGGCTATAAAGAGAACAATTGCAACAAGATTTTAAAGTGAAGGGCACCTAGAATAAATGGCTCATTCTTCTAATAATCTTAAAACTGTAATTTTGTGGTATTTCCTGAATGCTTTCTTTTCCACGGCACTGTTCCTGGCGTTGTCTTGTTAGCCCACTAGGAAGGACTTGCTGAGCTACTTCAAACCTCTGCACTGTTCCTGGCGTCTTGTTAGCCCATTAGGAAGGACTTGCTGAGCTACTTCAAACCTCTCTGTTGTGTGTTTTTCTTCTGCCTCTTGCATCTTTTTTTATGGACACAGCACAGCTGTATCAGGTTTGGGTTTTTTTCTGGTTTGGATTATTTTGCACTTTATTTTTATTATTGCTACATGTTTGCTTTAGAAGCACAGTCTGAAATTACTTCCTCAGCCTGAGGACTCTGGCTTAATGTTTGGGTAATAGTTGAAGACAAAAAGAAGGATGATTATTCTTCCTATCCTCTTCTTTCTCCCTCTGTTGAACATCTCCTTACCTCTGTGCCTTCCCTGGCTCCTGTCCCTTTCTGCACTATGCTCTGCCTGAAGCCATTGCTGGAGTCTCTCCTAAACCAACAAAGGGATGGAAAGATACACCTCATATCTTGAGATACATAAAAAATCAAAGGGTTTTCCCAAACCCTCTTCAGCTAAGAAATGCTGGTTTTATTTAAATTCAGAATTATGCCTGATAGTAGTCAGTCTAGAAAACAGACTTCTGGTTTTGGCTCTAGTTGTATGTTATGTCATGACAAGTTAATTATTCTAGTGCAAAATATTCGCCCATATGCACATGTCAAGTGGTAACATAAAAGTAGAAATTTTAATTAAATTTTATTTCCCTTTTAAAATTAAAACTAATTGGCCAAGTTTGAATTACAGGTCTGTCCCAGAACAACACACTGTCTTCTGTCGGGCTTGTGTGCCAGAGACAGTCTGGTGTCTTGCCGTGTGCTGTTAACGGCACAGAAGCCTCTGCAAAGCGCTTCTGGGCCAACCCGTCAGGCTCCTGTTTTTCCTGTGCAGGTGGCAGCGCTGCCATGTGGGACTCCTGCGGTGAGTCACACTGTCCACCAGGACCCAGCGAGGTGAGGAGGAGACACTGCCCTTGCTTCTGACACCCGTGCAGCGATGCAGAGCAACTTCCAAAGCCGTCCTTGCATTGCAGGTATCAAAGCATCGGATGTGGCCTACAAGGCTTAACAATGCATTTATTTCAGCCTCTCCCACAAGCAGGGATGTTTCCATGCAATTTATTCTGGCAACAGCTCTGCTTCCCCCTGCCCCAGCTAATTATGCGTTCTGGGGTCTGCAGATATTGTCTCCAAGCAATTTGAGGCAAATGGCAGATTAAGAATATGCAGAATAAAGGATGGCAAATGACATGATGCTGAAATTGAAACTAATGAAAACAGAAGCTTTATTCCCTTTTAATTTTAGACATGTGCAGAATAGTCTTGGAAGTGTCATTTTTGAAACATTCTTTTCACATTAATTTGTTTTTATTGGCAAATCAGTTCTCCAAGTACTGTTCTCTGGAATAGCTGCTGAAGTTTCAGATATAAGTGTTGGCTATAGGAATCCCTCGAGATATATTCTAAGGTTTGTTTCCTACTTGGAAACAATAGCAAGAGTTTAAGTCAAGTATTCCCCATCCCATATGTTCCATATGTGTTTGCTTTGCATCTTATCAGTGAATAATAATGTTACACAGAAACAGTACACAAATTGCATAACTCAGTGCAGTCCAATAGCTATACTTACAAATATGAATATAATTATTTTCCCACCACCAGCTTTCACCAGAGAAAATATAAAAACTGAAATATGTCAAGATGAGCCTGAAGCATTTCCAGTGCTCTTCGTCTTAAGTAGTCTTAAATGGCAACATTTACTGAGAAGAAAAGCACAAACTTCTGCTCTGAAACAGGAAATTGTTTGGGGAAATTTGGATTAGGGCAGGAAAGTTTGTTCAGCCCCCACAGCACTGTGGTATCCTGTAACAGTGGGCCAGTCACATCATCTGTC